AAAAATAGTCACTGAGAGTTTTTAAATTCTGGAGGGATCAGGTAGAGAGAAAGATAAATGTTTCAATTCTGCTTACAAAGGTATTGTCATTTACTAAACTGTTGTCAGCTTAAGAGAAAAACCTTAAAACACTTTATCAGCAACATTTGACACAAAAAGCCACAAAATCATCTTCCATAGTTTACTTAATCCTATGTAACCAATACCTGTTCTGCTGAAATCTAGTTCTTTACTAGTCAAAATACCTCAAAGGCAAATACAGGTTACACAGTTGAAAGGAAAGGAGCGACACATAGCAGCAATTCACCGGAGAGTTCCGCTTTATTAGGGAAAGGTGCTGGGTTATATAGGAGGGGGCATGAATTGATTGAGGTGTCACTTCTACGGGGCTGGTGGCTGTTGGCTAGGTGCTGGGATTGGGAGGGGGGCGAGAGGTGATTGGGCTTCAGGTGGCGCCGGCGGGAACTGAGGACCCCGAAGAGAAGCCGGAAGTTTGCCATCTTACTGGTGGGGACCCTTCAACAGTCGTTAGCAAAGTTTAGCTTTTAGTCCTTTTAATATTAAGATCTCATTTTCTTAAATACTCAGACAACTCATTGAGACTTTAAGCATGAGAAACTGCTTAGATAAAACAATTCAAATACCTTTTGCAATCTTTCAACATTAAAAGCAGACTAACAGTTTAAGAAAACTTTCTTTTTAACTGAAAATAAAATTCTAATTTGCTGTGTACTTGATATCGAGACTCTTTTGCTTTAATTTTACATAGCATGACCATATCAATTCTTCCACAAACTTTCTACTTCTTTTTTTACATTCAGATTCAGTTCTCCCTCTTTAAATAAACAGCTGTACGTTAGAACAAAGTTACTTTTATCAAAAGACACATTTTTTAGCATACAGAAATGTTTTCCTTACTACTTTAAGTAGTTTTACTTAGAACTTAAAACCATTAGGTACCTTAATTTTCAGTGAACACTGAGAAGTAGGCTATTGTAAACTGTTACACTAGCATTCTTTAGATTGACAAATTTATGAACACATTTTATAATTTCTGGAACCGTGTGCTTTGCAACAGTCTCACTAAGCACAAAATATGTCTAAACTTAGAAAAACTTTAAGGTTTTAGGTTACTACAAACGTTCTCAGGCTGTTTGTAGGTATACACACTGTAACACTGTAACACACAATTATTACTAAGATGTTCACTTGCTCCACTTAGTTTACTCATTCCTATCAACTATGCTAGATTACTTCCAAAACCTGAACATTAGACAAAGTCAAGCCTCTAAGCATTTTATTCTTGAAAGATTTAGCAGATAACACCAACTTAAATGACTTTAGGTAAACTTAGGCAGCTGATAACCATAAGGACATGTCCATTTCAGTTTAACTTAAATGTAGCACTAATCTTAACATTTTTTATTAGAATTTTCTGGAAGTTTTACAATGCCCAATTTTCACAAGCGCTTGTCTTTAAATTAATTTTATTAATACCATCCGGAGGTAGAAAAATATTTTTCATTTACACACTTGGACACACAAACATACTGATTGACACATAATGACTACAGTTAGCAATACTTTTTATAAAAGAACATATACAAAGATAAACTGATACAGAAATTTGAGTTACAGATATCCAATTGCCTTCTTTCTTTTTAGCTTATTTGACTTAAAGTATCTCAGTTTTCAAGAATACACTCAAAGGGCAAGCAGTTTATATATAACTGAGTTAAGGGGTAGATGGCCCCAGACTAACAGGGCTGATGAAGGCTCTGAACTGATAGGGACTGTGTGTCCAGGGGGCTGGAAATGAAATGCAAGTACAATTTTAGCACCAGTCATTTAAAGCTAGGCTGTATTGTAAAAGATAAATTTCATCTATTTCAGGGAGTCTAGTTTAAAAACCTCCCAATTTTTGAAGATAATGAACCCAATAAGTAGAATAGATTTTCACCAAAAAAATTTAGAAAACTAGTACCATATTGTAGTAGTTTACAGGACTTTTGACTATTTTCCTCCCTTGCATTAAAATAAATTTAGCTGCATTGCCTTATTATATTGTATACTTCTCTCAGGGGCCAAGCCTCTCCATTATAGAGTTTGTATTGAGGCCAGGCTTGTGTGCTGAAGATAAGACACTTCTTTTTCAGGGTCTGGGGATCAAAATTGCTCCCATTTCTTTAGAATGCAAGCCAGAGGCGTCTCTGGCTTTAAACTTGAAGAGGAAGCTCCCACCTGTAAGAGAGAAAGACAGGTGTGCGATACCTGGTTGGCCTTTCTCTGTGAGGGCGTCCCCTCACCATGGAGCCTAAGTGACCCTGGTCAATCACCTCCTCTGCCAGGCCTACTGGATTTAACCACTCCTTACCAGCATGGCCTACACCTTGCCTTGATTCCCCTTGCCTTCCCACCCAGCAAGAGTTGCCTCAGAGCTCCGGATTTAGTGGGACCTTACCAGTGTGCTCCTACTTTACACCTTTATGGAGTTTTCCTAGTTTTCTCTGCACAAGCTTCAGCATAGTACACTCAAGATTATTCCTTGAGAGCCCCCTGCCTCTCCGAAAAGTGCAGGACTGTGTGACCTCTGGCTGCCAGAGCCTTGGTCAGAGTCACAAGCCTGTTTCGCTTCCCTGGGGCCGCAGAAAAGGAAATGCCTAGCCCCAGGACGACTGCCTCTAAGAAAGGGAGATCAATAGAATAGAGCCATTTACAAGTTGGGCTCAGGGTTCAGTTTACTTCACAGACTTCATTTACATTACACAGGAGAAAGGGGCAGGCCTAAGACGGCTAGTTTGAATGAGGAGCAGGGGAACTTTTTCCAAGGCCAAAGATAAAATTCAGAGGCTGCCACAGACATTTATGGAGGGGGGGGGGCGGTTTCTGCCACTGCCAGGGAATCAGCCTGCTAGTTACCCACTGTCCGAAATCTGATTTGTGAAACAAGAGATCAGGGGTCATCTGCAATTCTCACATAGGCAGCAGCCTAGGCGGAGGTTCACTCAGTGCCATCAAATGAATTGGCCCGAGCTGAGATCCAGGACCACTGTCTACTAGTCCGGTCTGCCCTCAAGAGTCCGCAGATTAGGATAGGAAAGTAGGAAAGTAGGAAATCGGCTCAGTCACTCCCCGACATTCCTGTCCATCTGGAGGTGGGGGAATCAAGGAGCGGCAGACACCGGGAAACCTTTCACCTGAGAATGAAGACTGGTAACCAATGCTAATCGTCTTTTCAGTGGCTAACGGGTGCACGGACACATTTTATGAGATAGAGTACAGCATTTAGTCAGGAATAAGAGCGAAGCGTGGATCTCCTATCTTGTGGTGGTGAGCATCAGATTCCGTGAAATTGATCAAGTTAGGATTTAGGAACGCCCCCTACCTCACAAGGGAGGCCAGGGCGGCCTCAAGAAGCAGGCTGGAAGTCAGGGACAGAGACAGAGAGACACTCATGGATACCCAGTCGGGCTGTCGGGGCCTGATTCCAGACACGCGGATCTTTGAGAAGCTGCTGAAGTACAGCCTCAGCCTAGACTCTCACGGTGCCCAGGGCTTTCCTCAGTCCCTCGCATCCAAGGAGATGCCTCTGAAAGGGAATCCTGGCCTCCACTCAGGTGACATTCCCGGCTCCCAAGGGAGACGGGGGATCCACTGAGGGAGACGCAGGGGTACCTGTCGCTTGAGACTTTGAGATCGGCAGCCGGGCTAGTCCCATTTAAGTGGCTGACGAGCACCCAATGTTGTGTGCCATAGACGGCTTCCTTCTATAAGGACAGGGAAAGAAAAAGACAGGCTCGGATGCCGATATTCACCTCCAAAGTTATCCTGGACGAGTCCCCAAAGATGATGCTGGGGTTCTTGTTTGTGGAGTTGAAGAATGAACTTAGCAAACAGTCAAGGTAGGAGAGCCAGGGCTGAGGCTTTTATTGAGATACAGTGAGAGGTCAGAGATCCTGGCTAATGCCAGGAGGGGACAAGAGAGCCCGACGGCGTGGTGCGTTGTCTAGGGGATTTATAGGCAATAGAAGATTTGGGGGAACTAAGGGCTTAGGGTGTGGGCTTGTACCACCTGCCCTGCCCTCAAGGTGGACTGGGTTGTTTTCTGTTTGCTAGAGCTGTTTACAGTGAAGTCATGGGTTATGCTGAGATACCCTTGCGGAACACTCAAACATTCCAGGCCAAGTTGCTCCTGGCCTTTTGACCTTTAACTGATCTCACTGAAGATGTCTATATTCCTAGTCTAGTATCTTTACCCTAGAGAATTAGTGTGACCTTAACTTTGCATAATGCTGAGCACAGAGTTTTGATAGGGACTTTACATTGTTACATTGCTTTCGCTGTAAATATCCTGCCTTGCTTTTTCCTGAGGCCCTCACCCTACTCTGTCTAAGCCCATGGTCCCTGTCTCACAGGGAGTCCTCTATGCAAGTGTCTTCACATTGCACTTTACTTGGTTTCTTAAAATGAAATTGAGGTCTCTTCTCAATAAAGCATTTTTTAAAATCCCATAGGAGAAGCAGTTCAGCACAGGTCAACAGTCAGATTTCTGGCTTTATCACTTACTAGCTGTAATATCTCTGGTACCACATGAGATGGTGTATTTCTTCCCTACATATATGTATAACATTAACAATATTATACATAACAGCAATAGTGGTGTAACTTCATTCGGGTACCCAGATCTGATTCTAATGTATGTAGATATGTGGAAGGGGGGCTTCCCACACATATTTACACCAAGCAATTCTCAAACAGCAGCACGGTGCTGAATTCAACTTAATTCTGATGTTATCTGCCCAGAGACAGCACCAGATTTCCAGGTTAAGGGCTCCATCCTACAAGACTGACCTCCACCGCCCCCCACTCCAGATGATGATCGCAAGCCCCAGGCAGTTAACCTGTGCTTCTGAATTGTGGGTTACAATTGGAGGGTTCCCACGACCACCCCCTTAGGTTTGATTAATTTGTTAGAGCCACTCACAGAACTCAGGAAAACATTTAGGTTTACCAGTTTAATAAGGGATACCATAAAGGACACAAGTTAGCAGCCAGATGAACAGAGACATAGGGAAAGGTCACAAATTAAGGAGCTTCTATCCTTGTGGAGCTTCGGGGCTGGCTTGGTGGCATGTGGAGGCGTTCTGGTTCACCAAGCATCGAAGCTCTTCTCTGACCAAGAAGCAGGATCCATATCCAACCAAGTAGAGCAGGCAGAGCAGAATGCAGAGAGAATGAGCAAGCTCTTGTCCAAGGTTCTTGTGAGGGCTTCATTGCATAGTCATGATTGATGAAATTATTGGTCATTGGGTGATTCAACGTCCAGCCCCCATCCTTGGGTGGAAGTCCAAAAGTCTCTCATTAACATGATAAAACACCTGTTTCACTTTTAACATTGCAGTGTTTTCACAAACTGGAGGAAGACCACATATGCCTGAGAAATACACATTTGGCCATAAGAATGACCAAATATGTATTTTTTATAATTCATTGTATCACACAGGCCATGGGCTCTTGGGAAATTTAAACTCTTGGAGCCTCAGAGAATTTGCTTACAAAAGGAGAATGGTAGTAGTTAATCCCATCACATAGGATTATCAGTTTCGTTGAAATTAACATAATACTTATATGGTGCTTTCCATGGTACCTGACACAGAGTAAGTACTTCACAAAAAGTAGCTAGTATTATCATTATTACCATTATTACCATTATTGCTTCTAATGATTACTACTAATAACATAATCAGCCTTCAAATATAAAAACAAAACAAGACAGGTTTAGTGGCAGTGAAGAATATGAGAGGAGCAATGTCAGAAGATCACAGTGAGAGAACAGAATAGTGGCTTTCAGAGGTGGTAGAGATGACATCCAGGCTGTGGTCATGGGAGTTTGTGGCTACAGGGGAGTGAATGAGAGTAAAGGTCATTGTTTGGAGTTGAGGTCAAAGAATTCTGAGGCCATTATGGTTGCTTTTCTAGGTGAGGCCTAATTATCTCTCAGAATGAAGGTAGGAAATGAAGTGGAGAGGAAGATTTGGCTTGCAAAGACCACATTGGATGCCCAATAATTGGGCAGATGGCAACACAGCTCCACCCCCAGCTTTCCCAAGACACCCCACCCACTTTCTCCCAGTTCTTGCTAGTTCACATCTACCCCACTCTAACCTACTTTGCCATCCAAATCAGGAAATCAGAAAAAAAGCAAAGAAAAATGTCCCACTATTTCTCAACAGTACCTCATACATGCCTTGGGCACCTACTAAGTAAAACCCATTGTAGGTAATACAAGGAGGTTTCAACACTCCTGCCCCAACACCTTGTAATACAGATGAACAGATAAAAACATGGATACAAATACTACATAACGTTATCAATTAAACAGCATGACATTAAGTATTTATACATACAAACATTCCTCCACAAAGAGCAAATGTGAAATAAAAAATACTCAACAGATACTTTTGTTTATCTAAGTATCATTTCTTATTCTATGTCCCTTTCCCATGTACCCACACCAGACCCCATTTTCATTCAAATCTGAGCTGTCCTCCCATTCACCCCAATCTGGCTTTCCCTTTTTTAAGTACAAAGCCTGATAACGGGTGGCTCACCTACAGCTTTAACACTTAAAGTAAAGGAAGCTTTATGCAGATTCTGGCTTTTTATGGATTTTTCTCTGACAGTAGAGACTGAAACCATAGCCAATACCCACTGGCCTAAGAATAGGGACAATCACTTAAAAAGATCTGACTTGATATACCTTTAAATATAATTCATGAAGCTTTTTTTATGACACATCATTTTTTTATCTTTAATATTTCTGTTACCTTTGAAGTTATAAGAACAGCTGCTTTAGAAACTAGAAATACCAGAGCTCTGATCTATTTATAGTCCCTACACAGCTGAAGTTTATATCAAATGGACAATAAAAAATAGTAGAGACCTATACAAAGAAAGATTTAGAAAAATCCATTTCTAAAAAGCAGGTGAGATGGACTCAAAGACCTCACCAAATGTAGGAAAATCAAAGGGAAGCAAAGTAAATACTTCTGTTGCCAGGCATAAAGGCAGGAACCAGTCCACATAGTCATAAAAAAAAAGTTCTTTTTCCTCTTGATCTAAATGTTTCTCTCCAGTATGGGTTCAAAGAAAGGTCCTGATCATTTGAACTGATTGTCAATCAAGGTCCCCTTCATTTTCGCTTTCTTGGCTTCCAGTTCAGCCTGGAGAAGAAGAAAAGTGTATATTCTGATATATAACATGAAATTCTTATTTTCCTTCCTTATTCTAACTGCCCAAACAGTGTGCCTTCATGCTCATTTAGTGTACAAACTTAGAATAGTGGTTCTAAAATTGTTATGAATCTCTAGCATCTGCTTTCCAATCTTCCAAATGTTATTTATGGCATACATAGAAAATGACAGCATCTGTGTGATAAAAAGGAATAACTACACAAGACTGTGGTCAAAGGCAATCAGTACAGGGATCCCACAGCTCCAGGATCCCCAAAGGGCCAAGGGAATCAATACTGTAGCATACCAAAATCCTATGCTTCGCAGAACAAGAAGGAAAACACTGTTCTAAAATAGTGCTACTTAAAGTTGTGTGATCCTTACTCGTCCATGCAAAATACATATAAAAACTGAGAGTAAGAACAGACAATTCTCCAAAGAAGAAATTCAGATGGCCAACAGGCACATGAAAAGATGCTCCACATCACTAATCATCAGAGAAATGCAAATTAAAACCACAGTGAGATATCACCTCACACCAGTTAGGATGGCCACCATTCAAAAGACAACAACAAATGTTGGCAAGGATGTGGAGAAAGGGAAATCCTCCTACACTGCTGGTGGGAATGTAAAGTAGTTCCACCATTGTGGAAAGCAGTATGGAGATTCCTCAGAAAACTAAAAATAGAAATACCATTTGACCCAGGAATTCTTACGAATTTACCTTAAGAATGCAGCAGCCCAGGTTGAAAAAGATATGCACCCCTATGTTTATCGCAGCATGTTTATCGCAGCACTATTTACAATAGCCAAGAAATGGAAGCGACCTAAGCGTCCATCAGTAGTTGAATGGATAAAGAAGATGTGGTATATATACACAATGGAATATTATTTAGCCATAAGAAGAAAACAAATCCTACCATTTGCAACAACATGGATGGAGCTAGAGGGTATTATGCTCAGTGAAATAAGCCAGGCAGAGAAAGACAAGTATCAAATGATTTCACTCATGTGGAGCACAAGAACAAAGAAAAAAACTGAAGGAACAAAACAGCAACAGACGCACAGAACCCAAAAATGGACTAACAGTTACCAAAGGGAAAGGGACTGGGGAGGATGGGTGGGAAGGGAGGGACAAGGGGGCAAGGGGGCATTATGATTAGCACACATAATGTAGTGAGCGGGGCATGGGGAAAGCTGTACAACACAGAGAAGACAAGTAGTGATTCTATAGCATCTTACTATGCTGATGGAGAGTGACTGTAATGGGGTATGTGGGGGGGACTTGATGATCGGGGAGTCTAGTAACCATAATGTTGCTCATGTAATTGTAGATTAATGATACCAAAAAAAAAGTGCAAAGCAAAAAAAAAAGAAATTTGAGAGTAACCATTTAGAAACTTTCATAGCAATTTAACAGAGTAATAATAAAATAGTAAGACTTGAGGAAAATTAATTTTTACTACATTTTCTAAATTACGTATCTGTTCTTGACAAATTGGAAATTTAACAAAAGAAGAGAGCACTGGGCCTTCTTTTCACCTTAGATGATTTGATAAGCACTACTCTAAACCACACTTGCAAGGTAAAGCAGCTCCCAAGACCCACCACCTATCACCAAAAAGTCCCCTACAGTTGTTAGAACAGACTGGTACATCTTTTGATGAGGCACCAATGCAGTGATGTCTGATTTTTTAAAAAAATTTTTATTAAGGTATGATTGATATACACTCTTATAAAGGTTTCACATGAAAAAACAATGTGGTTACTACATTTACCCATATTATCAAGTCCCCACCCATACCCCAATGCAGTTACTGTCCATCAGTGCAGCAAGCTACCAGAGATCCACTATGTCCCTTCTCTGTAATACACTGTTCCCCCCATGATCCCCCACACCATGTGTACTAAACATAATACCCCTCAATCCCCTTCTCCCTCCCTCCCCACCCACCCTCCCACACCCCTTCCCTTTGGTAACCACTAGTTCATAGTGATGTCTGATTTTAAAGAAATATCCTAAGTAAATAATTATCAAAAAAACAAAAAATGCAGGCACCATCATATACAGACATGCACACTCTACGATGAGCTCATGAATAAAGCTGAAGCTGGTGGTGGTACTAGTGCTTTAAGAGGCAATGACCAGCCACAGTCCTGGTACCACCAGAGTAGCACTATCATATGCAATCACACTCTGGGAGAGTGTGCATGAAACCCTTCTTTCACTCCTGACCTCGGACCACAAGAGGGAGAAGAAAATGCCCTTCCAGATAGGGCTAGCCAACAAGCAGTATAATTTAGGACCTGGACCCTGTGTTCACTACTCCAAAACAGACTATCTCAGCAGTCACAGCCCAGGGTTAGAGAGTTGGCAGCCCACTACACCAGTAACTCGACAGACCTCCTGAGGGACTTCTTTGATTGCCAGAAGGTCTTTCAGACCCAGAGGTCCAATGGCAAGCCCAGTAACCTTGACACCCCAAGCCACTCACCAGCTCCTGAAGCCGCCTTTTGCTCATGCCTTTCCGCTCGAGCTGTTTTTCAATCACTTTGGCATTCTGTGCATATGAGTCAGCAACTTCCCTCTGAGGAACAAAAGCAACGCTCACCGACAAGTAACAACAGAGACCTTAGGCAGCAAGTCACACTACTCAAATTAGGAAAGTATTCCTAAAGTGGCAGGACTCTGTTCCCTTTCAACTTACTGGCTTTTTGATAACCCAGGAGAGTTGAGATTTCAACCGAAAATAACAAATAACATCTCTCTGTAAACATCATTATACCCAAGCACCACAATGGTAATTGCTGCTATTGCTACAGAGAGATTCACAAACCATCAGAGCTAGACTGGAAGAGACCTGAAATCGTTGAGTCCACTAGTTTTTAAACTGGAAGGGATGAGGGATTTGCCCCCAAGCCCTCTCAAAAAACAGTATGAAAAAAATTACTGATCTACTCCAAATCCCTGTTTCTCATTTTAGATATCCCTGAGGTCCAGGGACACAGGAACTAGCCCAGTGTCATAGAGTTTCTTGCTAGCAGAGCAAAGTCTACAAGCCAAGTTTCTAATTATTCTGCTATCCAGAAGTACTAGTTTAGAGTCCCCTTTCTTCCTCCCCACCCCTTGCCCAATCCAATTCCTTTGAGAGCAGAAGCACTTACAGCCTCAATCTCCTCTTCCTCTTCATCGATGGTGGACACAGTGACAGAGCTGAATTTGCCCATGTCTTTAGTCCGTTTGGTCATCATCACCTGGAGTCGCAAGAAGGTAATCAGTCTAGTTCAAAACAAGTGGCTCTGTGAGCTGTGTGTGCACATGCATACATGGAGAATAGCACATGCCTGGGTACTGGGGCATGGATTGGTGGAGACAGACACCCACCCCTTTGAGACAGGCTGGCTTATCTAAAAGTCCCCATGTTTTCATTTGCATTATGTTCTCCTAACATTTGCCATCAAGAGTTTTTAAAGTATACTTAAGAATTAGCCTGATTCATTCCATTTTAAATTTTCCACACTGGAAAAAGAAGAAATTTCAAAGGAAGCAAATGTGAATAAAAGCCATCCAATTTCCAACTTTACTTATAGGGCAGCTATAGCAACAAAAGAGAACACATAATATATGTCATAATTCTGTAACATCTGCTTACACACAAAAATGGCATTCTCTTAATAAAGAATGCACCCATAAAGGGCAGTTTTCTGCACTATAATCTTATTTAAAAATGTAAGGCTAGGTCTGTAGCTATATTAACCAGTCTGTTTCCTTCAATGATAATTACCTTCTTAGGAGGCTCTTGTTTCTGAGTATATATATTCGTTTTCCCAAAACCCTGGCCAAACTTGACTACTGCTCCATCCACAATGAAGGTCACAGGAGCATTCTTCGGCTGGGACTGGTAGAAGAGTGGCAGTCCACACCTGCAAAGAACAGAAGAATCTCTGGGAAGCCTCAGAATCCAAATTCCCAAAACAGTGATTTGCAAAGTGTGCTCAGATTCGGGGAATATTTTTGTTTGTGGCATAAACTGATGATTAACTCTTCCAATGTTTCCCAAAGCTACTTGAAAAGAACCACTGAGGGTGCTCATTAAAATTGCTGATCACTTTCTTAGGTCCCTCCCCAGTAAGATCCTGATGCAACAAATCTAGGGAATGAGGTCTGGGAATCTCATTTTCCTCAGCTTCCCAAATGCCCCTTATCCTTAGACAAATTTAGGAAATGCTGGCTCCTGCTACTGATTGTTTTCCAGTTCAAGCTGCTGACATTTTCCCAGAAATGGTAAACTAGTTTGAGGGTTTTCTCTAGTTTTGTTTTGTTTCAGCAATGTCAAGGAGGAGTGTAAAGGCTCCACTGCAGTGGTCAGCAAACTAATCCCTGTAGTAATCACCATACTTCCTTTGGTTGGTCATTTTTACTATGTTTTTTCAGCAAAATGAGGCAGACCCATAAGATATGATAGAACTAATTTCATGACTCCAGTGTGGCTGTGAACTAAAATGCCTTCCTAGCCATTTCCCTGCTTTAATTCCCCCAGTCTGAGTCTTCTGAGAGCCAAGATGTACCTGTAGTTACATCAACAAGATCAAACTTACTATAGTTTAATATTCTCAGTATTGACAAGCTAAAACTGGAAACATATATATATATATTGTTTTAAATAATACTCTCTAAGGTCCTATAATAGGCTTTATAAATAGGTCTGGATTAAATTACACTATGTTACACTTATCATTATGACCCAGCAACCCCACTCCAAGAGAAAACATATTCCCACCAATATTTATACTAGAATGTTCACAGCAGCTTTGTTTATAATAGCCAAAACTATTAATAACTCAAATGTCCTGCAACCCAGAAACAGGTTAAACAAACTGGTGCTGTGGAATACTACTCAGAAATAAAAAAGAGGAATAAACTAGTGATATATATATAAAACAAAAAACAACCTGGATGAATCCCACAAGCGCTATACTGAGTGAAAGAAAACAGACATAAAAGATACATATTGTATGTAGTAAAACACATACTGTAGAATTTACATAGTAGTTTAGAAAAGGCAAAAACTATAGTGACAGAAGATGGATCAGTGACTGCCACGGAGACGGGTGAGGAAGGGGACTGAGGCAAAGGGCACATGGGGTACTGGAAAGGGTCTGTGTCATCGTGGCTGGTGGTATTACATGACTGTGTGTTTTTGTCAAAACTCATCAAATTATACACTTCAGAGGAGCAAATTTCATTATATATAAATTACATCTTAATTTAAAAAATTATACTGTATTAAAAACCCCACAATTTTTGTGGCCAACTTTGGCTAGTCTCTTCAAGGAGCATGCTGGCATTTGTACAACTGAAGTTTAAAGGCAGTTGAGGTGATGAGGAGAAATATCTAACAGACAACTGTGTACAAATAATTCTTGTCCTAGCACATAACTGCCTTGACCGGCTTATGCTCAGAGGAATCCCCACTGTTAATACTTACTTTGCACACTTCTTCCTGTATTGTCGTTCAATGCCTTCAGGCCTGCAGAGAAAATGGAAGTTTAAAAATAAAAAGATATACAGAAATCTCATAACTTACCAACCTATCTCATTTCTTTAAATGTAAAATGGGCCTTTCAAAAGTATTCATTTCATAGATCAACTAGTTACTGAAACATGTAATTTTAAAGCTTCTTTCCTTCCACAAGCATTTACCGCATTCCTGATAGGGGTCAGGCACCTTCCTGATGGAGGAGCACAAAGAGCAACAGCAGTTGTAGTCACGGTGCAGTCACAGTCACAACAACAATAATAATAGGGGCAACCATGTGTGTGGCTTTTATTAGGGGCCGGGAGCTGTTCAAAAGCATCCATGTATTAACCATTTAATCCTTACAACAATCCTGTGAGGCAGGGTCCATTACCATTCCCATTTTACAGACAAGGGTTTCCAAGCACAAAGCAACTATATGATGTGCCTATCTTCATCTTCATCAATAGTGGACACTATTGCCCAAGGTCATAGAGTTAGGAAGTATAATAGGTTGAATTCAAGCCCAGGCCATCAAGCTCAAGAGCACACACAGCACTGCCTTAGACAACCAACTAGGAGATAAAACTTTTCCACCCAGCCAGTTGTTTAACAGAAACTGGGACTCATCCATGATTCTTCTCTTTCCCTCATCTCCCATACTTGCCTTATCAGCCAATCCTAAGGATTGTACCTCCAAAAAAAGATCTTGGACCTACTTTTCTCTACCACCTTAGCCCAGGCCACCTGTATCTCTTCCTGGACTATTGTTACAGCTTCCCAACTGGTCTCCTCACTTCCTCTCTCCTGGTTTGTTTCAACTTTTTGATGGGCAATACGTGCACATGGCACAAATAGAGTATAAAATAGAAAATCAATACCCTTTTCACTCATCCTCCACCCACCCAGAGGCAACTACTGTTTCTAGTTTCTTCTATTCCTCCTAGAAATAGTCAATGATACAAACAAAGAATCCTTATTGGCTTATAAACAAACTTTTCTTTCTCTTTGCCTTTTTAGACAAATGTAGCATACCTCACAGTGTTTTCCACCTCTTTGTTTACTTAAAAATGTTCATCAGTTAAAAAATGTACATGTGGAAGGAGGAGCCAAGATGGCTGCGTGAATAGGGCAGTGGAAATCTCCTCCCAAAACCACATATATTTTTGAAAATACAACAAATACAAGTATTCCTAAAAGAGAGGACAGAGGATACAGTACAACGGTCAGGCTACATCTACATCTGTGAGAACTCAGCACCTCACAAAGGGGGTAAGATACAAGACCCGGTGCAGCAGGACCCGAGCGCTCCCCCCACCCCAGCTCCCCGGCGGAAGGAGAGGAGTTGGAGTGGGGAGGGAGTGGAAGCCCAGGACTGCTAAACAACCAACCCTAGTCATCCGCACCGGGAGCACAGACACACATTGGGTGGTGTGCTGGATACTAGGGAAACAGAACAGTAAAATCTGTGAGCGGGTCCCCGCAGCCAGCGCCCCTGGGACAAAAGAAAAGCGAGTGCTTTTTGAAAGCCTTAAAGAGACAGGGGCCTCATAGCTGGACGGAAGCATCCTGGCACACTCAGCCCAGCAGCTGGGAATCCCGGGGAAATTCAGGCGCTCCAGCCCCCTAGGAGGCAGCACAGCTCTGAAGCCCCTCACGGCAATAAACAGCCTCCCATCCATTCCCACTCTGGCCCCACAATAGCAGGGGAGCAGCCTGAGAACAACCGCCCAGAGCCTCCTCTGCAGACACCCAGGACAGAGTCAGAGGCCCTGCCAGTGCGCACAGACAGAGGAAGCCTGGACAGGGCTCCAAGGGTCACTGCTATCACAGGAGAGGACACCCAGCACGCCGGTCCCTCCCCATGGGGCTCTGGGCTGCCCCAACAGTGGCCACGCCTGCGGGGGCTCAGGAAATAAAATCGGAAGCTGCTCCAAGGAGGACAAGGCAACCAACAAGCAGGAAGGGACTTTGTTCTCCCAGCTAACACACGCGCCAACTGCCCACAACTACCTCTATAGCCATGAAAAGGCAGAAAAATCTGATCCAGTCCAGAATCACCGAGACAACCATTGAGAGGGAGCCTGGGGAGATACATTTAACCAATCTTCCTGAAAAAGAATTCAAAATAAAGATCATAACCATGCTGATGGACATGCAGAGAAATATGGAAGAGCTAAGGGATCAAGTTAGGAGGGAGAATACAGAAATAAAACAATCTCTGGAAGGACTTAAGAGTAGACTGGATGAGGTGCAAGAGGCCATTAATGGAATAGAAATCAGACAACAGGAACACAGAGAAGCTGAGGCAGAGAGAGATAAAAGGATCTCCAGGAATGAAAGAATACTGAGAACTGTGTGACCAATCCAAACGGAACAATATTCGCATTATAGGGGTACCAAAAGAATAAGAGAGAGAAGAAGGGATAGAAAGTGTCTTTGAAGAAATAATTGCTGAAAACTTCCCCAACCTGGGGGAGGAAATGGTCTCTCAGACCAAGGAAGCCCACAGAACTCCCAACACAAGGGACCCAAGGAACTTAACACCAAGACACATAATTAAAATGGCAAAGATCAGGGACAAGGACAGAGTTTTAAAGGCAGCCAGAGAGAGAAAAAAGGTCACCTACAAAGGAAAATCCATCAGGCTATCATCAGACTTCTCAACAGAAACCTTAAGGGCCAGAACAGAATGGCATGATATATTTAATGCAATGAAACAGAAGGGCCTCGAACCAAGAATACTGTATCCAGCACAATTATCATTTAAATATGAGGGAGGGATTAAACAATTCCCAGACAAGCAAAAGCTGAGGAAATTTGCCTCCCAAAAACCACCTCCACAGGATATTTTAAAGGGACTGCTCAAGATGGAAGCACTCCTAAGGCTAAATAGACGTCAACAGAGAAAATCAAATCACAACAAAGAAAGCAGACCAACCAAACACTAACTAAAGGCAAAAAATAAAATCAACTACTCACAAAAGTAGTCAAAAGAAACACAAAAGACTACAGAATAAAACACCTAACATATAAAGAATGGAGGAGGAGGAATAAGAAGGGAGACAAATAAAGAATCATCAGACTGCATTTACAATAGCTTAATAAGCAAGTTAAGTTAGATGGTTAGATAGTAAAGAAGCTCCCCTTGAACCTTTGGTAACCACGAATCTAAGGCCTGCAATGGCAATAAGTACATATCTTTCAATAATCACCCTAAATGTAAACAGACTGAACGCACCAATCAAAAAAGACACAGAATAATAGAATGGATAAAAAAGCAAGACCCATCTATATGCTGCTTACAAGAGACTCACCTTAAATCCAAAGATATACACAGACTAAAAGTCAAGGGATGGAAAAAGATATTTCATGCAAACAATAGGGAGAAAAAAGCAGGTGTTGCAGTACAAGTATCAGACAAAATACACTTCAAAACAAAGAAAATAACAAGAGATAAAGGACATTACATAATGATAAAGGGGGCAGTCGAACAAGACGATATAACCATTATAAATATATATGCACCCAATACAGGAGCACCAACATATGTGAAACAAATACTAACACAATTAAAGGAGGAAATAGAATTCAATGCATTCATTTTAGGAGACTTCAACACACCACTCACTCCAAAGGACAGATCCACCAGACAGAATAAATAAGGACACAGAGGCACTGAACAACACACTAGAACAGATGGACCTAATAGATATCTACAGAACTCTATACCCAAAAGCGGCAGGATACACATTCTTCTCAAGTGCACATGGAACATTTTCCAGAATAGACCACATACTAGGCCACAAAAAGAGCCTCAGTAAATTCAGAAAGACTGAAATTCTACCAACCAACCTCTCAGACCACGAAGGTATAAAACTAGAAATAAATTGTACAAAGAAAGCAAAAAGGCTCACAAACACATGGAGGCTTAACAACGTGCTCCTAAATAATCAATGGATCAATGACCAAATTAAAATAGAGATCAAGCAACATATGGAGACAAATGACAGCAACAGTACAAAGCCCCAACTTCTGGGGGATGCAGCGAAAGCAGTTCTAAGAGGAAAGTATGTAGCAATCCAGGCCTATTTAAAGAAGAAAGAACAATCCCAAATGAATAGTCTAAAGTCACAATTATTGAAATTGGAAAAAGAAGAACAAATGAGGCCTAAGTCAGCAGAAGGAGGGACATAATAAAGATCAGACAAGAAATAAATAAAATTGAGAAAAATAAAACCATAGAAAATAAACAAAATAGATAAGCCCCTAGCTAGACTTAATAAGAGAACAAGAGAATCTACACACATCAACAGAATTAGAAACGAGTAAGGAAAAACCATGACGGATCCCACAGAAATACAAAGAATCATTAGAGAATACTATGAGAATCTATATGCTAACAAGCTGGAAAACCTAGAAGAAATGGACAACTTCCTAGAAAAATACAACCTTCCAAGACCAACCAAGGAATAAACAGAAAATCTAAACAGATCAATTACCAGCAATGAAATTGAAGGAGTAATCAAAAAACTACCCAAGAGCAAAACTCCCGGGCCAGATGGATTTACCACAGAATTTTAACAGACATACAGAAAAGACATAATGCTCATTCTCCTTAAAGTTTTCCAAAAAATAGAAGAGGAAGGAATACTTCCAGACTCATTCTATGAAGCCAGCATCACCCTAATACCAAAACCGGGCAAAGGCCCCACCGAAAAAGAAACTTACAGACCAATATCCCTGATGAACATAGATGCAAAAATACTCAACAAAATATTAGCAAACCGAATTCAAAAATATATCAAAAGGATCATACACCACGACCAAGTGGGATTCATCCCAGGGATGCAAGGATGGTACAACATTCGAAAATCCATCAACATCATCCACCACATCAACAAAAAGAAAGACAAAAACCACATGATCATCTCCATAGATGCTGAAAAAGCATTTGACAAAATTCAACATCCATTCATGATAAAAACTCTCAGCAAAATGGGAATAGAGGGCAAGTACCTCAACATAATAAAGGCCATATATGATAAACCCACAGCCA